AATTGTTTAAAAGAATAGAGAAAAAAAATAATTTTTAAATGTTTTTTTTAAACAAAATAAATGTATATTTGAATTAGATATCAATTATTTTTATATATACCAAAAAAAACAAACAAATAACTGTCTAACTAAAGATATGAAGTTTGGCGTGAATTAATGTCGAGGTGTTCATCATGTAGTGCTTTACTTTCATGTGATTGTGTATGTCGTGGACAATCGAATTAGGTCCGGTAGCCAAACATTGCCCACATATGGGACAACAAGGCGAGTATAACCGGAAAAAAACAAACTGATGAACAGTCCTACCGGTTAACACTTCCCATCCCATGTATGACGATTTTTGATAGCTTTCAAACAATCGTTGTTTGTCTTTAACTGCGTTGGCGTTAGTCAGGTGTCCATACAGTTGGATGACTTTTTGATTACTTCCAGAAATAGTTTCTAAATATCCAGATTCGGTGGGAATTATGTCGGGACTTAAACCCCAATGAGATCCCAATTTGATAGCTCGGTTAGACTGTGATACCATATGTAGTCTACGATCAATGGGAACATTGTGACCGTCATTTGTCCACTCAACGCCTCCCAGACTAACTCCATCGCCACCGTCAACCTGATTGTCTTCAACATCTGTGTTATCGTCTGAATCGTTCAAATTGTCCAAATTGTTAGAATCGGCCGATCCCTCATTGGCCAAATCATTAAGCCAATTAACACCTAACAGATCAGGCCCGACACTCTGAGTAAACTCTTTACTAAAAAAAATAATAACTATTAACTAAAATACTCAATAAGTGAATAATAAAACCTTACAATTGATCACCGATTGTGTCAAATCTCTGTTTATACGACTCGACTATATTAAGTGACTCTTGTAATTCAAAGTGGTCTATTGACATCAGCTGTCAATTGAGGACATCGATTGCAAATATTTTGCTAAAAAAAACTAATTATAACAACATTTCTAATAATGAACTAAAATAGATAATACCTGTACTCCAGAATTCATACGCTTACGTTTATTACCAGTGTCTCTGTTATCGACGGATTCATCACCCGATTGGTCCATTGAGACGTCAGTGTCGTCCATGGGTTCAGCTATAAAGTTATCAATTGAAGTACTAACCCGTCCAGACATCTGACTGCTGGCCATTTCGATACATTTGGCGGAAGCATTACTGAAACAAGTCATCCATTTACCAAAATTGCGTCCACACGTTCCTAACTTATTGACGGCCAATGCGAACATTTCATCGTTGAGTGAATCCAAGTCCTCCTGAGTCGGAGATACTGGTAAACCTGTTGTTGATTGACTACGAGTGGGTGTCCTGTCATTAATTTAGTCAAAGTTTAGTAATAATTTTGTATAATAAGTTTAAAACACAAGAATTGATCAAATTGTCCAAATCGGCCAAATCGACCAAAAAGTAAATTGTAATAAATAACAGTTGAATACATACCGTAGTTGTGTGTTGTCAGCACTGGTAGTACCCAAACCCTGGCCATCGTTATCGGTATCAATGGCTATTCCGTTGTTGGCATCACATGAAGACAAACCATTGGTTTCATTACAAGTATAGACAACATCGGCATAACTGACGGCACTGTTATCTTCACTACGATTATCGACACCGATGGGAGGTATAGGAACTGTATTTGAGTTGTCAGTCGGATCTATATTTTGTACATCAAAACTGTCAGCTCTGTCGACATCCATATCAATGACTAGACGGTTGTCATCCAAGTCGTCGCTTTGATCATTAATAATACCTCCAGTATTAATACCGACTGTTTGGTCACCGATTTCATCAACAATTTTGTCATCATTTTGGTCATCAGTTTCGGCACTGTTTGGATCACATCTGTTGTCATCAATGACAGCAACGGGTTGGCCATCAGTCTTGTCGTCTGATCGACCGTTGAGTTGACCACTGGTTATGTCACCAAAATCACCGACGCTTTGGTCAGTAGTTGTATCATCTGATTGACAGTCGGTTTGCCCAATGTTTGTCTCATGAATTTTCCCATCATTTGTCTCATGAAGTAAGTGCTCATTTGGGTCATCCGTTTGACCGCTAATGGACTGACCAATTGGTTTCTTGAATTAAAAATCAATAATTAATTTAACTAATAATTAATAATAATAATACATATAGTAATAGTAATAACAACACAATTACCGATTGAATTGAATCCATTCAAATTTATATAACAAACAAAAATATTATTTGTTTAATTTAACAAAAAAAAAATATTGTTAAAAAAAACAAAAATCAATTGAAATTTATGGGTTTAATAAGCAAACAAAAAGTTTTTTTAATTCAAAAAAAATCAATTAAAATGTATTGCAAACAGTATTGAGTCAACAATTATAACAATTTTAAAATCTATTCACGTGATTAGGGATCGACTGTTTGACTACATTGTTGACCAAACATGTGATCATTAGATATGCAATACAAATATAATATACTTTATTCAACTCTGAATTTACTAATTAGTTATATTATATAAAGCTATAGATTTTTATTGCAAAATCTCTTTAATAAATAAATAAAAAGTTTTTTTTTAAAAAAATAAATTTACAATTTTGCAAATTTTACAAAAATTATAGATCTATATTGTATAATCAAAATATCCTATATTATTTTATAATAATTTTAGTTTTAAGTATATTTGAGGACTAAATTGGCATTTAATGTATAATTTAAATATATTAAATGATTGTCAAACTAAATAGACCAGGGCGATCAATTTGGCCAAATTGGTCAAATCGGTCAAACAGTTTATTTTGTGTAGACATAGTGTGCCCACTTCACCCAATTTATGTAATAGGTTTTTCACCTAAATTACTGACATTTAGCTGTAATTAAAGGTTTTCCCCTATTAATTAATAGTGGAAATAATTGTACTGATTGATAAGATAATTAGTATTAATTATATATTAACTATATATATATAATAACTTTATATTTTTATAATTGTTTTATTGTAACGGTTGGCTTTTATTTAACTGTGGGGGGATAAAACATAATAATATATATTACATATATATTATAGTTTTGGTAGCTAAGATTATATAATTGGTTAGTTTAGATCAGCCCATGCATGACATACCACACCTCCCTCTCCAGCTATATAAGAGTCAACCGACCCTAACTCGGGGTCTGGATATTGTAGTCGTCTTTTATAATCGTATATGTTTTGTAATAGTTTTTTTGCTTTGTTTTTAACAGTTTTTAGTACTTTTGTACTGTACTTATTTTGTCTAAGTTTTATACTTTTGTATTAAGTATTTAATTTTGATACTCAACAATAAAGTAATATTATTTTATAATTAAAATTGTGTGTTAAATAACAATTCATACAACTATACTGGTGCTGGGGAAAGGGTGGCGCAAGAAACGCCAGTACCGACCGGATCGGCCAAATCGGCCAATCACTTGGGTGGGACAACTGGATGTGATTGAAGAGTGCTCTACATTTTGACGACCAGTTGTACGGCCGGTACAGCCTTCACAGCCGCTAACCCGAGTTCGGTGCAGCGCTCGTATACAGACATATATAGGCAAAATATATGTTATGTTGTAATATATTGTTTTTATGATAATAATAATAATAATAATAATACATTATATGAAAATATTGAATAAATTATTAATAAATGTTTTATTGTAATTATGTCATTTATTTAGTTACAATATACTATTATAAATAGTATACAATAAAAAAATATATTAACTAAATATTTTACAAATAAATTATTTATTTATTTTTTAATTAACTAATACTAAAAATAAACTAAATTTTTGCGACAGTTTGTATCAGACATTTTTTAGATTGTAAATATATTTTTAATGATTTATTAATTTATTTGTGTTTATTGTTATTTGCAATTTTTTTTGTGTTAAAAATATCATATTTTCATAAAATATTTTCATATTAAACAAACATTATACAAAAATTTAATTTAATTTTCTTATTAACTATTTAAAATAAAAATAAAGTATTTAATCATTATTTAATTATTGTTTTTAGTTAATATCTAAAAACAATTGCATAACCATTAAGTTTATAGTGTCTGAACTGATAACACTATTGAATGTCAAATATTCTATATATATTATATACCAATTGCTATGTTTTAACTAATATATAAAATAATTATTATTATTATTAACTTAAAATAACTGTAGAAATAATTATTAATAGATTATCATAATTATACTTTTGATTTAAATTATTTAATCTAAACAAGTAAAACTATTTATTTTATTTTAAAGTGTTAGTTATAGCATCATGCAAAAATATTAATTGATTTAGATTAATTAATATTAATATGATATAATATTTTATGTATAATTATACCTGTATATATATATATACAGTATATAATCAATTATTTCAATTAGGTTTAAAGTTAAGTGTTTTCTAACATTAACAGTAAATAAATTTTTATAAAAAAAATAAAATTATAATTTATTACATACTTATACTTAAATAATAATAATAATACTATCATATATATTTTAATTGACATATCATATAAAAGTTATTTACTAATTAGTATTGTGTTGTGCTATTGTATTGACAAATATAATAAATACTATAATACTGGTAATCAAGTATTTTATAATTAATATTTGAAATACTTATAAACTTGAAAATAAAATATATATACAGTATAATTTTAGGATATATAGTGTGATATCTCAATATTTATTAAAAGTACTTTTTTTATATTTTTATAAAGTAATTTATTTTTATTAATTATCACTTAATTTTATATTTATTAATAACTAAAAATAAAAAAGTCTATAAAGTATTCAACAATAAAAAAATTAATTTCACTATTTTAATTGTACACTCACATATATATAAATTTCAACTTAAATAATTATATATTATTAATTTTTTAACTAAAATTCTAATTAAATAATAACTCGTAATAATTGAAAGTTATCAAGGGTGATTATTTTTTAAAAAATAAATAATAACTTATGGATTTAGTTATAGATTGCCATCAATTGAACAATGAATTTGAGCCGGTAGATATATTAGGTGCCGGTACATTTGGACAGGTAATTAAAGCTAGATATTTGCCTGATAAACAATTTTATGCAATTAAAGCCATACATTTGGCTGGTAAGTAAAAATTACTTATTATTATTATTAGTATTTACTGTATATTATAGTGTGTTTTTTCTACTAATAAATTACTGTTAATAGGTATATAATTTTTTAAAAATAATATAACAATATAAATTACATGTAATATTAATAAACTAAATGAAATTTAAATGTTTTTTAAAAAAACAATATAATTTAAATATTATTTAATAATAATAATTTATTTAACAATACTCTAAATACTACTGTAAATTTATACATATTAGACTATTTGTTTGTTTTTGAATAAATAAATAAATATATAAAGTGAGGGGACCCAAAATTGATAGACATTTATTAGTAATAATAATGACAACAATTATTTTATTAATTTATATAGTTATATACTGTAGATATATATATATATATATATATATATATATATATATAGTTTTATAAATACTTTATTCAACACCGACTGATAAAATAATAAAATAACTTTTATAGCATAGTTTAAGTGGAAATTTTTTAAATAAATTTTTTTATATATCAAACATGTGTAATATGTTTCATCAGAAACAAAAAAAAGTTTACAAAAAAATTAATAATTAAATATAAATAATTAATTAATAATAACATGATAATTTTTTTTTTAATTTCGCTGATCTAATTTAAATAGAGTTAATGTAATAACTAGTATAATATAAGATAATTTTTTTTAAATAAATTTTAATTTTTGTCTTATTAACAAAATAAATGAGGTTTTTTTAAATAAAATAAATTTAATTTTTATTTATAAACTTAATTTTTAATATAAACTTAATTTTTAATATAAGCTTAATTTTTATATAAATTTAATTACTTAATATAAAAATAATTTTTTATATAAACTTAATTTTTATATAAATTATAATTTTTATATATAATTTAATTTAAAACTAATAGCTAACCAGGATCCTAAATACACGAACCGTGAACTAGAGGTCCTGCATAAAGTTAGCAGTGTGTACCTGGTCAAATATTATTGTTCATGGTCGGAATTATTACCCGACAATAGTCGGGTAACATTCATCCAAATGGAGTTATGTTGGTTTACCCTGAAGGACGGGGTCGACAAAATGCGCCAATACTTTCGGAGACAACCCACGGAAATGTGGCCACCGCTGGGCTACTATATGGCTGTCCAATTGTTCCGGGAACTGCTGACGGGTATTAACTATTTGCATACCCGACAGCCGCCGATTATACATCGGGATATTAAGCCGACAAACATACTGATCCGCGGGTCGGGCTGTTTGCCCGATAGGCCGACATTTGTTAAGATAGCCGACTTTGGACTGGCTATTGAACATCATTATAGGCAACAATCGCATACCAGACATGTGGGCACCGATCGGTATATGGCACCCGAAGTCAATCATGTGACCAAATATACCATTACAGCCGATATGTATAGCATAGGTGTTACCAGTGAGGAACTGTTCAATTATAATGTTAATGATACTAGGTAATATTTTTTTTTAAATTTATAATATTTATGATTTTTTTAAATAATTATAATATTCATAATTTATTTTAAATTTATAATATTTATGATTTTTTACAATATATATTTATGATTTATTTTTTCAATATATATTATTAATGATCTACTTTTTAATTTATAATATTCATGATTTATTATTAAATATTTATAATATTCATGATTTAAAAAAATTATAATATTAATGATTTATTTTTTTAATATATAATATTAATGATTTATTTTTTAATTTATAATATTCATGATTTTATTTTTACCTAATTAAAATATAATTTTATAGTTTAGAAAATAATTTTGAAGACTACATTATCTATAAAGATATTATTGATGTCATCAAAAATCTATTGGAACCATGCAATAGTAATCGTCAATTGTGCCAGGATATACTAGATAATAAAAAATCAACATGGTCATCTGGAAAATTTCTAGATATACTGCCAATTGCTTGTTCATCCATACAATTGGGCCCAGATTATCAATATAATTATCAGGGACAGTTTGTCCAATATTTTTATCAATGCAACTATCAATATTATAAATTAAAATATGGTAAAATATATAATCAAGGAGCTTTTTAACAGCTTTTAATTAATTAATTCAAAAATTATCAAGGTCGACAATTGGATTTAATAAAAAAATTACCATGATGACAATGTTGTAGCTAATATTATTTATAGATTGTAATGGTCATTTTTAAAAAATTAATTAATTAATTGTATGATTGGGCAAATAATTATCAGTCGACTATAATTTTATAATTTTATACAATTTAAAAAAATAGTCGACTGTATATTATATGGCCAATTAAATACAATTAATTAAAAATGACTAATAACAATCTTATTTAATTTACAAAAATTATCTACAACATTGCACATCATGGTCACTAATTTTTAAATAACAACAAATTGTTGACCTTGATTATTAAAAAAAAATAATAGCTATAAATATAACATTTAAAAAAAATAATTTATATCTATTTTATATATTAGTTGATCAATTAGTTAGCTGGCTAAATAAAGTTATTAATAAAATAAACGATATATCATGCCATGATGACAGATCATCATCATCATCGATGACCAGGGTCCAATCATCTATTGATTCAATGAAAAACTATTATAACTATTGGACATCAACCATGGATCAATTTCAATTGAAAACAGATAAATATAAAATATTTTTACGCTATCTACCTGATAAACTATCAATGGATTTTCAAAATCTAACCAAGGAGATTCAACAAAAAGATTACATGATCAAATCAGTTATTAAAAGTTATGGTAACTATTGGCAACGTATCAATAATTTTCTACTAGATATTCAATCAGCAATGGATCTAGTTGAATTATTAGAATATAAATTAGTGTCGGCAATGTATATGTCGGATAGTGAACGGGAAGTTTCGATAATCCGAAAGGAAATTTCCCAGTTTAACGAATATTACGATCAAAATAATTCAAAGATTACTAATCTAACTCAGTCTAGAAATTTTATTAAAAATTTCCTGGATAAAATTCAACAAAAATCCTATGTACCGTTCAATGTTGATTGCGTTGATAATCAAATTAAATTAATAAATTATAGATGGACTAATTGTCAATTGATTATTGAAAAAAGGTTTGGGTTAAATTTATTAATATTTTAGTTACTTAATATTTTAATTAATTAAATTTTTTAGTTACTTAATATTTTAATTAATTAATATTTTAGTTAATTAATATTTTAGTTAATTAATATTTTAGTTAATTAATATTTTAGTTAATTAATATTTTAGTTAATTAATATTTTAGTTAATTAATATTTTAGTTAATTAATATTTTAGTTAGTTAATATTTTAATTAATTAATATTTTAGTTACTTAATATTTTAATTAATTAAATTTTTAGTTACTTAATATTTTAATTAATTAATATTTTAGTTAATTAATATTTTAGTTAATTAATATTTTAGTTAGTTAATATTTTAGTTACTTAATATTTTAATTAATTAATTTTTTAGTTAATTAATTTCTTAGTTAATAAATTAATTTGTTAATTAATTAATTTTTATTATTAATTAATTCATTTTTTATTATTAATTATACATTTTTTGCATCATGGTTGTAATTATAATTTTATTTTTTTATTTTAAAAATGTTATCTTGAAAGAAAATCCTGTTGGACATCTACCATGAACAGTTTTCAAATGAAAACCGATAAACATAAAATATTTTTACGCTATCTACCTGATAAACTATCAATGGATTTTCAAAATCTAACCAAGGAGATTCAACAAAAAAATTATTTTATCAAATCAGTTATTAAAAGTTATGGTAACTATTGGCAACGTATCAATAATTTTCTTGTTGATATTCAATCAGCAATGGATCTAGTTGAATTATTAGAATATAAACTGGTTTCAGCAATGTATATGTCGGATAGTGAACGGGTAGTTTCGATGATCCGGAAGGAAATTTCCCAGTTTAACGAATATTACGATCAGAATAATTCTAGGATTACTAACCTAACACAATCGAGAAATTTTATCAAAAATTTTCTTGATAAAATTCAACAAAAATCTTATGTTCCGTTGAATGTTGTTAGTATTGATAAACAAATTAAATTAATACATGATAGATGGACTAATTGTCAATTGATTATTGAAAAGAGGTAAGGTTAAATTAATTAATTATTTTTATTATTAATTAATTAATTTTTATTGTTAATTAATTATTTTTATTATTAATTAATTAATTTTTATTATTAATTAATTAATTTTTATTTTTAATTAATTAATTTATTATTTTATTAATTAAATAATTATTTATTTTATTAATTAATTAATTAATTATTTTATTAATTAATTAATTAATAATTAGTTTTGTTTTTTTGCATCATGATTCTAATTTTATTTTATTTATTTTTTTATAAAAATTTATCTTGAAAGAAAATCCTGTTTTATAGAATGCTATAAAATTTTACAAAAATATATGAAATATGCAAACATTGAATTACAACTATGGAATCAATTAAAATTACATTTCCTTGAATTCAATACAAAAAGATCATCAAGTATATTATCAGTATGTATTTATTAATTTTTTTAAAATTTTTTTTATATATTTATTAGAATGTAACTAGTTAAATTTTGAACTAAAAATTTTTAAAAATAACTTATTTTTAATTAAAAAAAAATATATATTATTCAGCAAATAGACATAACATTTGGCAACTATAGGCAAACAGTTTTCAAACTGAATTTAATTGGTCAACAATTTCTGAATAAAGCAATCAACTATGATTTGACCATCATAGATTATCGAAATCAGCTAGATGATTCCCATAGATATTTCGATGAATTTTTTAGATCACCAAGTAACAATAATGTTGATAATGTACGCTATACTAACAATATGAAAGTGAAATTGCATGCACTATGCAAATTTGAATTGCAATTGAAAAATAAGATACGTAAAATCTACAATATCAATTTTAATCAAAATAATAATAATAATAATAAATCAATTTTAATCGACCAACAACAATTAGATAATTCAAATAATAATGATGATGATGCTAATAATAATAATGAAAATAGTAATGATAATAATTTTGATTGTAATAGTTCACCATTTTTAAATTTAACTAGCTACTTTGGCGATATTATCGACTATGTAGATAATGATACCAGTTTTTTTCCATTGTGTTTGGATAATACTATCGATAAATTAGACAATAGTGCTGATGAATACGATGACATAAAATTGATTGATCAAATGTGGACAGCAATTGTAATAATAAACCTAAAACTAGTAACTGTAAGTATAGTATCAAAATTATTATTTATTTAAATAATAATACAATATATATATATATATAAAAGGGGTTTTCATATATTTAGCACATGCGGTTTTTGCTATAATTCTTAAATGGTGTGAGATATATTAATTTTGTAAAAAATGTATTAAAATATGATTTACGCGTGATATTATAAAACATTAAATTTTTAATTTTGATCACGTGATCATATTTATTTTGGGATGTTTGCAAACCACTATGTCAGAACCTAATCTATAAATGATAGAATAAAATTTCAATTATATTTTTGTAAAGCTTACATTGAAAATTTATGGAAAGAAAGAATTTTTAAAATTGGTCGAAGAATAAAATTTTTATGGTTTTTCAAACTTGTGGAATAACACATTATATAAAATAGTCAAAAATAAAATGACGTTATTTATGGATAGTAGACACTAATTAGATAAAGATTTTAATACTATTACTTATTCTAAAAACAAAATTTTTTTATGTCGAATATTTTTTTAGATATTCAAATTACAATAAAAAGCACAACATAGTAATTCGATAATGTAATTTGTAATTAAATTTTATTATTTTAAAAAATATTCGACATAAAAAAATTTTGTTTTTAGAATAAGTAATAGTATAAAAATCTTTATCTAATTAGTGTCTACTATCCATAAATTACGTCATTTTATTTTTGACTATTTTATATAATGTGTTATTCCACAAGTTTGAAAAACCATAAAAATTTTATTCTTCGACCAATATTAAAAATTTTTTCTTTCCGTAAATTTTCAATGTTAGCTTTACAAAAATATAATTGAAATTTTATTCTATCATTTATAGATTAGGTTCTGACATAGTGGTTTGCAAGCATCCCAAAATAAATATGATCACGTGATCAAAATTAAAAATTTAATATTTAATAATATCACGCGTAAATCATATATTAATACACTTTTTACAAAATTAATATATCTCACTCCGTTTAAGAATTATAGCAAAAACCGCATGTGCTAAATATATGAAAAACCCTTTTATATATATATATATATATATATTTAATTTTAAGCATATCATATAATAAGAAAATTATAGGAATTTTTTTTAATAATGTTTGTTTTATAGAAAAATATTTTTTATAAAAAAATAACTATACAATAAAAACAATAACAATAATAATCAATAGTAATAGTAATCTTAATAATAATAATTATATTATTATAAATTTTAATAATTATATTATTATATTATTATAAATTTTAATAATTATATTATTATAAATTTTAATAAAAATATTAATATCTATCACACAGTAGATCAAGTGGACAGTAATTAGACTGACCACCCATACAGGTGCCACCTGTATCATACAGGAAACAAGGGTTACATACAGGCGACAGGAAAGGGGTTAACCTGTATAATGTATTATACAGGTTTGATAAACTATAAAACTGTAATGCAATACGATATTACTTTTGATATACTGTACATTCGTTTCATTACTTGTTATTAATTATCATCAAATTATGGCATCAAAATCTAAAAGAGTTTTAAATTCATTTCAAGAAAATTGGTTGAAAATTAGTGAATACAAAAATTGGTTACAAAAAAGTGATGATTTAACCGCATTTTGTGGTTATTGTAAAAACTCATTTACTATCAAATATGAAGGTATATTTGCAATTAAGACACATTTGTCATCCAATCGACATAAAACTAGTGCCCAATCGGTAAATATGTGTCAATCATTAAATAAATTTGTGACCAAAGTTTCTACGGATGAAAAATCATTAGCTATTTGTGATCTATGTTTTATCTATCATTTAATATCACACAATTTAAGTTCAATCGTTCAAGTTATTGCAGTGTTAAACTAATAAAAACTGTAATAAAAGACTCTAATATTGTCAAACAACTTCAATGTGGTCGGACAAAAATGGAGGGCATAGCGGCTAACATTTTATGTCAACTATCAATTGATAAGCATTTAAATGTTGTTATAAATGCAAGTGATGCATCAAATAAAGGAAATATTAAATATTTTCCTATTGTTATTCAATATTTTTGCATTGAAAATAGTATACAAAATTTTATACTCGATTTCTATGAAGATAGTAATGAAACTTCAATTGCTATATACAAGACAATAACCGAATGTATGTCAAAAAATAAATTACAATTAAATCAAATTAAAGCATTTACTGCTGATAATGCTTCAGTAAATTATGGTAAACACCAATCAGTTTATAAAAACTTTATTGACCGAAACAATTATTTAATAAAAGCAAATTGTAACTGTCATGTTTTAAATAATACAATAAAATTTGCGATAAATAAATTAAATTTTGATGTCAAAAACCAGCTAAACCATTGGAAAGGCTAAAAAGTTGTTATGATTTTTGTGATATTGAATTTGAGAAACTTAAAAAGCATGTAACGACAAGATGGCTAACATTATATCCAGCAGTTACTAGACTTATTGATCACATCCAACAACTTAAAGCCTACTTCATAGCCTTGGGTACGGATGATTGTTATCAAATTATTTGGGATTTTGTGTGGTCAGACAACTGTAATACAATAACCATTAATGAGCTGTATTTACATTTTTCATCTCATTTAATGAAATTATTTTTTGATAATATTAAGTTATTAGAAAAAAGCGATACCAATGCTACAAATCTAATAGATATTATGAGTAAATTGAAAACACAATTAAAAAATAGATTAGATAATAAATTTTTTAGTATTTTTGAGAGATAATATAACAAAATTAAATATTAATGATAAAAATGAATTTATTAATAATTGTAAAGTTGTTTACACACGTGCAATTCAATATTTGTGTAATCATTTTGATTTTAATGAATCACCGTATCTTTTATTTTCAAAATTAAATTTGGATCAAAATTTAAATTATGATAATATTGTTAATATAGCAAAAATAATGAATATTGATGTTAATTTTGATGATATTTTTGATGAAATTAATTTATTTAATGTTTATTTAAATAAACTTGATTATAACATCAAGTCATTAAATAATATTAAAATTTATTGTAACATATTTTCAAATATTAATTTACCTAATTTACTTAAAATTATTGAATCAATATTATGTATAGCAATTAGTAATGATTTTGTTGAGCGAACATTCAATTTAATGAGAAAAGTATTAAGAGATGAGAGATCTCATATGAATTTACAATTAATTAAATCAGAGATTTGTATTAAAACAAATTTTTCATTAAATTGTCAAGAATTTTATGATTATATAAAAGATAATAATGCTATACTGAAATCTGTAAAAAATTGGAAAAATTAATAAAATATATTTAATTTTAATTAATATCTATAATTATTTATACAGGTTAAAATACAGGTTTGAATAAAATATATACAGGAATATATAGGTTAAATATATAAAAATCTTATGGTTATACAGGATATTAATAAAAATGGGTGGTCAGTCTAACAGTAATTGTGGTAATAAACCTAAAACTAGTAGCTGTATGTATAATATTAAAATTATTATTAATATTATTTATAATAATAATGTTTAATTTATTGTAAATTTTAATATAGGTTGTTTCTTGTAATTTTTTGGATTTTACCCAAAAATAAAAACAATACAATAATTTATTAATAATTTATAAAAAAAAATTATATTATGATTACTGATAATACTAATAATATTTAATTTTGTTTTTCAATAATAAACTAATCATGTTTTTTTATTATATAAATATTTCATTAACAAATTTTAATCTGAAATTTTTAAGATTAACTAATCATTTATCTAAAAAACAATAATAAATTATATGTAGAAATTTATTGTTAAAAAATATTTTTTATAATTATTTATTATTTGTTTAATTTTTATTTGTTAGAAAAGATAATATTGAGAAAAAAATGTTAATAATATTAAATTAAAATTGTAAATAAAATTTCATTTTATATTAATTTGATATTCAATTGGCTAATCAATTAGTTATAAATCTATTCAAAACAAAAAATGTTTGCAACAAATAAGTGGTCGATGTTTCAAAAATAATGGCTGATTTCGGTTATTCAACAACAATGGGGGGTAAGTCGGGTCTCAATTATACGGCAATTAATATAATACCCGTAAACATATTGATGCCACAAATCACTGAACAGTTAGCTATGGATTTCATGGATCTGGTCTATGAAATCGGTGGTACTATTGGTATGTGGATCGGCATATCTATCCTAACTAGTAGTCAACTAATCATATATATATATATATACATTAAATATATTTAAATATATATATATAAATATAAATAATTTAAATAAAAATTATGTTTGAATAGATTTATTATATAAAACGTATATTTAAAAAAAAAACTTTTACTTAATTAGTAAAAATAATTAAATGCTATAAAAAAATTATTATTTTTATTTATACTAATTTTTATGGAAATTATATGAATTTCTTTACAATTCAGCATAAAATTACTGTTTATTTTTTTTAAAATATAAATTTAATTTTTATCTAATAGTAACTTTACTATTATATATATATTTAAATATAATTGTAATGTTTAATGTTATTTCCTAATTAAAATAATTATCATTTTTGTCTATTGGGTGTCACTGCTGTATAATATATAAATACTATACAATAATTTATTTGTAATTTATAATAATTAATATAAATTGTATATATTTATAATAAATACAATAATAGTTTTTTTAAAAAGTGATTAATATTTTCTTAAATAATTATATGTTTTAATAAAATTTTTATATATTCAAAACTAGTCAAACTACTGATTAAAAACTATTAAAGTAATAATTATAATATTATTATTAATATACATTAAAAATAGTGATTTTTAAAAATTTTTATTTACATTATGTAATTTGTATTTATATTTTGATAATATTTATTGGAAACAATAATTTAGAACTTTTATAATAATTATTATTATAAATATACAGTAAATATATATATATATATATATATATAAACTAAAATTCATAACTAATATACAGTATATATATATATATATATTAATACTAATTAATACTGACATTAATTATTTAAAAAAAATTTTTTATCAATTACTTTATTTTTATTTATAATTCTCATAATTTAAAAACTATTTTGTTTTCTATTTATTTATTTTCAATATTATTGTTATTATTTTTACAGATTTTATTTAATTAAGAATATTTTTAATTAATTACTAAACATATCTTTGAATTTTTTTTTAATAATTTTCTTAAAGATTTTTTTTTTAAACTGTAATTTATTTTATTTTTTAATTTTCTTTAACAAATATAAATTTGTTTATTTTAGTTATATTAAAAATATTTTTTTTATTGATATATATTATAAATATATTTAAAAATATATATTCTATTAATTAAATAATATTTTTTAATAAATATACAGTAATAAACAAAACTTAAGTTATAAATAATAAATAATACTTTTATTTTTGTTCATTAAAAAATGAAAACAATATTTTATTACAATTATTATTAATAAGACAATAATCTTACAAAAAAATAAAATAAAAGATAACTGTCCAGGGTAACCATTATTATATTTTTTTTTGTTTATTGTTTAATAATAATTTTTTTATTACATTATCACATTAATCAGTATATACTTTAAATTATTTATTTTTTAAATGGTGCAATATATATTTATTTTATTAATTATTACTATTTTGTTAAATAAATTTTTTTTTTTTAAATTATAAACAATTTAATAATATTTTATTTTATTTTATTTACTATAATTATGCTTTTAATAAAATATTAACACATAATAATAATAATAATAATGTCTGATAGTAGGCCAATAAAACAAACTGGCCGTTTCAATAAATACTATAAGATAATAGGGCCTGAACTGGGAACGGGAGGTTTCGGTACAGTCTATATGGTATCGTATAGACATTTTCCCAGCAAACGGTTTGCTGTTAAAGTATCCAAAAAAACATGTAAGTGTATGATATACAGTATATATATGATAATATTAAAAATAAAAAATAATATACAATATTATATATATATATATATATATTTATACATTATTTACCAGGGTTAAACAAGGTTTTGGATTTTTCGGGGGGGGGGGGGGGATTGGTGTCTAGAGTGGGGTCAACTTACAAAATTCTCGAAAAAATCTTGGGGATGGGGTCTAGGGGTGGGGTGTAGACTATTAATTCATTTATAAACTGAATATTTTTTGATTTTAAATTTAAATTGACCCCCCCCCCCCTCTCTTCAAAAAAAAAATCCAAAATTAATATGCGGGAGGGGGTCTAGAGATAATTCCTCAAAAAAAAATTCCTAAAATTCCCGAATATTCCTAATGTAAATTCCATACACCCCCGCCTACCCACTTGTTTAACCTTGATTCAATTGCATATTTTTTTTAAAAAAAAAATTAGTTGATAAAGATACATGTCTAAATCAATTGGAAATGGAGATCAAACACTGGGCTACTATTGATAGCGACTATTTTGTCAGATACCGGAGCTCATGGATAGAGACGGCTACTAATGCTAATACTACTATTCGTTCACTATTGCCAGCTTGTATTAGCCCCAGTAGTGAGCGGCACCTGTATCGCCAATACATCGAAATGGACTGGTGTTGGTTTACACTGTTTGATGTTATCCGAAAAATGTCCGATCATTTCAAACGTGATACCCGTAAACTGTGGCCATTGTTAGGCTATATAATGGCTGCGGAACTGTTCGATGAGATACTACAGGCGCTAAACTATTTGCATACCTGTGCAGCAGTACTAATACATCGTGATATTAAACCCAGGAATATACTGATTAGACAAAAATCTAGTGGAACACCGTTTGTTAAGATAGGCGATTTTGGACTGGTAGTCACCGCCCAGCCATCTGATAATTCTAGTACTAGTGCACAGTTAGGTATTGCCGGAACGCCTGGTTATATGGCACCCGAAGTCCTGTTAGGAGGCGGTGGTGGCTATACTACCAAATCGGATGTCTATAGTTTAGCTGTTATGGCTATCGAAATGTTTAATATGAATTTAGCTACTTATAAGTATTGTTTGATTTTGATTTTTTTTAAATTTTTATTTAGGGGTGATCAACATATTACGTTTGCATTTAAAGGGGTGGGGTGGCCAAAGCGAATTGTTGTGAACGAGGGGGCGGGGGAGGGGTAGAGACTTTATGAACGTTTTCATTTGAATAGTATTTTATTTTTTTTTGTGGTGGGGGGGGGGTTAGCAGTTAGGGATATGCTAGATGTAATTTTTTTAAAATGACTACATTGGAACAATTAGGGGAGGGCGGGGGTCTGTATTTTTTCTAAAAAAGTGCGAACGTAATATGTGAGCAGTCCCTTATATATATATATTAAAATTTATCATGATAAATTTTTTTAAAAATTTTATTTATAGATTGCAAACTGATTCAACTAATAGTTTAATGTATGATAATTTGTATAAAATTTTGGCTAAAATGTTAGATCATAATACAATGGATAGATTTACATGTCAAATGGTACTGGCTAATAAAACTAAATGGCACCTATCTATCAGTGATATTAGACAACTAATTGCAAATAATATTGATATTAATAATCAAAAATATGATTATAACAGTGAATTTATACAATATTATCTAAAAGATAAATATCATTGTTATAATTTACAATACAGTATGTATTTAAATATATATATATATTAATTAATTTTTGTTTTTTGAAATAATATTATTGTGTATAATAATTAATTAATATTATTGTGTATAATAATTAATTAATATTATTGTTTATAATAATTAATTAATATTATTGTTTATAATAATTAATTAATATTATTGTTTTATAATAATTATTAATATTATTGTTTTATAATAATTATTAATTTATAGTTTATAATAATTATTAATATTCTAGTTTATAATAATTATTAATTTATAGTTTATAATAATTAGTAATTTATAGTTTATAATAATTATTAATATTATAATTTATAATTATTAATATTATAATTTATAATAATTATTAATATTATAATTTATAATAATTATTAATATTCTAGTTTATAATAATTATTAATTTATAGTTTATAATAATTAGTAATTTATAGTTTATAATAATTATTAATATTATAATTTATAATAATTATTAATATTATAATTTATAATAATTATTAATATTATAATTTATAATAATTATTAATATTATAATTTATAATAATTATTAATATTATAATTTATAATAATTATTAATATTCTAGTTTATAATAATTATTAATTTATAGTTTATAATAATTAGTAATTTATAGTTTATAATAATTATTAATATTATAATTTATAATAATTATTAATATTATAATTTATAATAATTATTAATATTATAATTTATAATAATTATTAATATTATAATTTATAATAATTATTAATATTATAATTTATAATAATTATTAATATTATAATTTATAATAATTATTAATATTCTAGTTTGTAATAATTATTAATATTATTGTTTTATAATAATTATTAATATTATTTGTTATTATAGTTGTATTACTAGTTTATTACTAATAAATTAATGATATTTTTTTAATATAAATATTTTATAGATAATTCAATAGACATTGTTAGCAGACAATTGAACATTGATAGACAAACTGCAGCAAAACATATTGGTATTACTGATATTTAAATAATATTATAATATATTATATATATTTTTAAAATATCCTATAAATAAATAAAATTGTAAATTATTTAATTAATTTATTAGGTATACTATTTTGTAGTTAAATTAATTTCTTTTTGATAGACTATCAATTTGTTTTAAGTTATTTTTATAAAATAAATAAAATAAAAAGTTTTCCATGTTTTTTTTAATAATAACTAAATTTAAATTGAAATGTTAAATGTATTATATGATTATAAAAAGTTTTAAAACAACAATAAAAATAAATATAAATAAATACAATTTTTATTAATATTATTAATTTTACTAAATTATACATATACTGTATGTTAAAATAAAATAAGTTTTATTTTATCATACATTATATGTAATACATATTATTTATAATTATATAAACTGTATTAACGATATCATAATACAGTTATATATATAATAGTAATTTATTTGTTTTATTATCTGTACTTTGAAATTAATAAAATACTTACCTAAAATAATAATAATAATACCAGTAATATACAGTATTATATTACTTAAGTAAAATTTTTTAATTATCTTATATATATATATATATATATATATATATATATATATAGCAATATGCAGGTAATCTTTTAGTACTTATAAAAAACTTAGTAACAGTATATTTGTTTACAATTAAAAAACTATTTTATTTACCAAAAAAAAATAAATAATTAAATAATAAGTAAATATGTTTACAAATCAAATAATGTTGTTTTCAACTTATTATTTTTTTTTGATAAATATTTTGTTGATCAAATTAATTTAATTATTTTCGTTATTATACTATTTAGTTTAATATAATAATATCTTTTATAGTTATAATTATTTTATAAATATATATATATATATATATATATAATAGATTCAATGTAAAATTGATAATGATATTAATAAATAAATAATAAAAACTGTATACAGTTTTATATACCTGTTTTATAAAACTAATAACTTATGTGCAAATTTCATTTATATAAATGATAAATTGTTGATAATAAAATACTTATATAAAATTATTTATCAATAATTTATTATATAGTTATTTGCTTATCATATAAGTGTCTATCCCACAATATAAATTTTTTTGTTATTGATAAAAAATGTATTACATTAGTTAACAACAACAAAAATTTTTTAACTCAAGTGTTTTAATAGTAATAATAATTTTATTATTAGTCTTTTCAACAAAAAAAAATTTAATAAATTAATTTTGCTTACGTGTATAATCAAAAACACAAATTATACAAAAAAAAATGATAATATTAATTTAAATATATTAATTAATTTTTTTTATTTAAATATGGCTAGTGATGATGATGAACTTAATAAAATCGACACATTGGATGGTCGATATAAATGTGAATTTACAATTAAAAAACTAATTGGCCAAGGTGCTTTTGGTAAAGTTTATATTGTCAAACATAATGTCGATGAAAAACAGTATGCTATAAGAAAAATAAAAGGTTTGGTTAAATAAATAAATAAATAATAATTATATTTATTTAAATTTTTATATAAAATTTTTATATACTAATTATTGTTGATTGTTGATTAATTAAAAGTTATTATTATAAATATATTTAATATATATATATATATATATAGAAATCAAAAAAATAATTGTCTAAACATTTATATTTATTTAATATTTATATATATATAAAACAAAAATAAAATTAATTAATTATTTAAAATATTTAATAAACTTATATATATTTTTTAAGTTGATGGCCGTAATGCCGGTGTCAACCAGTATGTAACCAAAACTATTAGAGGCCTACAAACATGGGCTCAATTGGCCGACAATAATAGTATTGTCGAGTTTTTCGGGGCCTGGTTTGAATGGTCGGCCAATAATAAAGAGAGGCCACAATTGATTTATTACATACAAACCGAATTGTGTTGGTTTTCATTGGCCGATGTTTTCGGTAAAATGAGACATACATTCGGTAGACAACCGTCACAGTTGTGGCCAGTTGTCGGCTATTTTATGGCCGCGGAATTATTCCGTGAAATATTGGAAGCACTGGACTATTTGCATACCGGCAGTCAACCGGCAATCATACACCGGGATATCAAACCTACCAATATATTGATACGTCAGCACCCGGTCGGCCGGTTCGTAAAAATCGGTGATTTCGGCCTATCGAAAGAACATCCGGAACAGTCGATGTCACATTCGCAAAATGTCGGCACCGATAAGTTTATGGCACCTGAAGTCAAACGTAGCCGAAAATATGGTACCAAAGCCGATATCTATAGTCTGGGTATGGTCAATGTTGAACTGTTCAATATGGATGTCAATAGGTTTAGGTAGGTGCTGCTGCTGCTGCTGCTGCTGCTGCTTAGATATGTAATTTGAATAATAGTATATAATGTACTAACAAAAATAAAAATGTTAGCATGCTAATTTTTTGTGTGTTTGTTTGTTAAGTATTAAACTAAATATAATTATTATAAGTTTAGCTAGGTGCTAGATGTAATTTAGTAATACTAGTTAATTAAAATGTTAGCATGCTAATTTTGTTTGGTTGTTTGTTAAGTATTAAAATATTTATAATTTTTAAGTTTAGCTAGGTGCTAGATGTAATTGAATTATACTAAATATAAATTGTTAGTTTTTTCCACAACAACAACAACAACAAAAATGTTAGCATGCTAATTTTTGGTTGTTTGTTAAGTATTAAACAAAATATAATTTTTAAGTTTAGCTAGGTGCTAGATGTAATTTAGTAATACTAGTTAAAAAATGTTAGGTTTTTTCTATAAAACAATGTTAGCATGGTAATTTTTTGTTTGTTTGTTTGATAAATATTAAACTAAATATAATTTTTAAGTTTAGCTAGGTGCTAGATGTAATTGAATTATACTAAATATAAATTGTTAGTTTTTTCCACAACAACAACAACAACAAAAATGTTAGCATGCTAATTTTTGGTTGTTTGTTAAGTATTAAACTAAATATAATTTTTAAGTTTAGCTAGGTGCTAGATGTAATTTAATTATACTAAGTATAAATTGTTAATTTTTTCTATAAAAAAATGTTAATTATCATGCTAATAAAGCTTATAAATTATAAAGTTTAGGTAGGTGCTAAATGTAATTTAGTACTAGTACTACTAAAATAATACTAAATATAAAATGTTAGGTTTTTCAAAAAAAATATTAGCATGCTATTTTGTTTGTTTGTTAATTATTAATTAAAACTAAATAATTTTAATATTAATTAATAATCAATAATATTGTTTTTATTTTTATCTATAGTAAACAAACAATTGTCGATAATAAACTGGGTAGACTGTATAAAATCATGTACGACCTAATTGTTAACCAACAAAACGGATCGAGTGATAGTAGGATGTCGTGTAGGGAACTGTTAGCCGATAAACCCAATTGGTATCTAAACTGTATGGACATTGTCGATGATATACACCAGATAATTGATATGGAAAATAGCATGAATTATGATTACCATGATAATTTTGTTGAATATTTTGTTCAGGCTAAATTTTGTTATTACAACAATTGTTAGCTGTCAATAATTGATCAAGTAACCATTAATTAATAATAATAAATAAATAATATTATTTTTGACCAATTTCAAATTACTATTAATATATTTATTATTAATTATAATATACACTTTGAAATATATATATATAAATATATATATATATATAAATAAAATTTATTGTTATATATATATATATATATATATATATATATGTTTGACCATCGATGGTAACAATAAGGATAATTGATAACAACAACAATAACTAATCAATTGCTTAACGTTTTAGTTAAACATTTGTTTGTAATTTTATATATATAAAAATAAAATCAATTAATTATATTTAATAAATTTAAACAATAATAACAAAATAAAAACGTGAACTTAATTATTATTGAACAATGATTTTTTAAATATATATATTAATTAGTTATTAATTAGTTTAAAAGTTTAGATAAGTTATTTAAATTGTAATAAAGTAATAATAAAAAAAGTAAAATTCCGTTAAAACAAAAAAAAAATTTGTATGAATTTTACAATTATATGATTTTTAAAATTAATTAATAAACAAAAATATGTTAGAAATAGTGACAATAATTATCATTATCACCACAATTGTCTTCAATGTTGTTATTGATTGTTATGATAATAATAATAATACCACTACAGTGTCGCCAATTGGTGGTCAGCAACTGTGCGACTCTACAAATATGATGACCACCAGTGATGGTAACAAATACTTCACGGGTTTTAAACTATTGAAAAAATTGGATCTAATCGGTGATGAAAATAATAATAATAATAATATATTCAAAGCTAACTATTGGCTAACTAACGGTACGATTGACATTGAAATCAATATAACCATCGATGATGATGATGATGGTCATCATTATCGTAACATACATGTGCCCAATCAACTATTGAAACCGTATAGTAGTCCAGTACTATCGGATGTATTGTATTATACTAACTATTATATAGCTGGTCAATCACTATCATCAATGGTAAACAATGGGACACTATTTCGGGCAATTTGTGAGACATATAAAAATGTAATCAAAAAATTAGTTAATACTATACATACTGTAGTTTTTTTTATTATAATAATAATAATAATTATTATTATTATTAAGTTAACAACTAATCAAACTTATATCGCTTGTTCATCGGGTGGTCATCATCTGGTTGTAGACCTAACTGATCCCATGTTATCTGTCGACACCAACAACAACAACAACAATAGTCTACTGATATTTAGTCCGACAGCTAACTATCCAAACAATTATTTGCTAATTATGTACAAAACAAACCGTTTGTTGTTTCAATTGATTGAATTTGATTTGATAGACAATAGTCTATCGGTTAGACTATTGAACGAAACTGACTGTCCTATCGATGACAAACAGATCGACAACAATCTGATGGGACAACCGACGTGTAAATTACCGCAATTTGTCAAAGATATAGCTAATAGTAGGCTAACCATAGATAATATGTTGAACCAATTGGTCAGTATTATGGACTATCGGATCAATGATAAAGACATGGGTCATGTCCTATGGTTTGTTATAGACGGTCGACCCATGTATTGCTTTACAACGGAAGGTCAGCCACTGTCTGAACAGGTATTTCTTGAGAGAGAGAGAGAGAGAGAGAGAGAGAGACCCAATAGTATAGCAAAAAAAATGTTATAAATTGTTTTTTTTAGTAATTTTTATTAAATAATAATTAATTATTATGTTTGTTTGTTGTATAACATTAGTGTTATTCAATAGGAAATCTCATCAAATCAATAACTATCGACTGTTTAGCCATCGATGACGACGACCCAAAACAAACAGTCTATCATATTATCAAAATAGTCATATTTTTGCTATTGTTTTTCGGTTTGGCCATCATTTTGGCCATTATTGTCGTAGGTTTTATCATTGTTTATCAACAAAAACTATCGGTTCAGACCCTATCGGTTAGTCGATCCCAATCGGGTAGTAATCGTAGTTACGGTGACGATGTATTGAAACCTAAATCCATTCAATCCATTAAAACGGTCGACAGTCGCGATGTTGTTGTCGTCGGCAGTCATTAGTCATCAATAGTAGAGACCTGTTAACCGATCCGATTGATTAACTGATGGGTTTCAGACAATTATTTAAATATATTTTTGTTTATAATTATTAATATATAACTATATAATAGTTTGCTATTTATTTATTTTTTAATTATTAAGATTAGTAATTATTAACTAATAGTTCAGACAATTATTTAAATATATTTTTTAAGAAAAAAATATTAATATATAACTATTTAATAGTTTTTAGTTATTTTTTATTAGTAGTAAATATTAACTAATGATTTCAGACAATTAATTAAATATTTTTTTGAATATTGATATATAACTATATAATAGTTTTTATTTTTTATTATTAGTAGTCAATATTAACTGATGGTTTAAACAATTATTTAAATAATTTTTTTTATTTAAATATTAATATATAACTATATTATAGTTTTTATTTATTTATTTTTTCAATTATTATTATTAGTAGTAAATATTAACTAATGATTTCAGACAATTAATTAAATATTTTTTTGAATATTGATATATAATTATATAATAGTTTTTATTTATTTATTTTTTTTAAAAATTATTATTATAATTAAATAATTGAATGTTTGATGAATGTGTTTATAATTTTTTGTTTTTTTTTTGTTGGATAGTACTCTATAACAGGTTTTAATATACAATTTTATCTATAAATAAAAAAAAGTTATAATTGAGTAGTTAATACTATTTATTTTTTTTTTATTTCTAAACAAATAATACTTACTTATCATACAGTTGACTAAAAATTTTTCATAAAACATATGTTTAACTATTTAATTAAAATACATTATTATAATACATTATATTAGTATCGATGGCATCATAAATAAAAAACTAAATTTTTTTTATAAATACCGTATACTTGTATCTAATATTATATTGAATATAAGTTAAGAGACTAATAGACATACTGTGTAGGGGTTGAGCCCATCATTGTATACAATATAAAATCAGTAATCATTATCTCATTTATTAGACAACAACAACTACAACATTGCCAACAACTAAGACATTGATAGTTAAATCTCTGTATTTATATATATATATTTGTATTTAAACAATGTTGAAAACATAGCCATGTACTTAATTATACAATATATACAGTATATATATATATATATATATATATATCTATACTTTATACTGTAAATATATAGTACTACCTAATATTAAGCACCGGTAGCTTAAATGGCATTATGACCACTTTGCACTAAGTGTGGTTACAGTTTCACTGATAATTTTTTTTTTTTTTAAAATCAAATACATTAAAAGTATATATATATATATATATAATATTTAGTATAATTTTTAACTATAAAAAATATGTTTGATATAAAATATAAAACCAAAAAATTAGTTAAATATTTTTTTTTGTATATACTATGATAATAATAAAAAATCATCAGTAGTTATAGTAATAGTTTAGCAATGGGTGTTAAACAAAAATAATACCTACAAATGTATTATTATTTTTGTTATTTGTTTGATAAAAAAAATAACAGTTGTTTTTATTTTAGTTTTTAAAAAATAAGTAATGACAACATAAATACTATCTCTATATTTTGTGTGTGTGTTTATTTGTAACAATTTGTTTTATGTGTATAACTTATTTATATACAGAATATTCTGTACACATTTTTTTTTTTTAAAAAAACATATAAATATTTTTTTCAACAACATATATACATACTGTATATATATATATATATATATATAGACTGTGACAAAAAACAAAACAAAAATAAGGATTTATATATTTTAATACAACAACAAAAAATGCACTAAAAGTTTGCATTTTTATGTGTTTTTTATATATAAATATAAATACAATATATGTTTTATGTTTATAGTTTAGTATCCTATATCTCTCTCTCTCTCTCTCTCTCTCTCTTTCTTTCTTTATTACTTTCTCTCTATAAGTTTTTAGTCAGTTATAATCAAAATGAATGACAATGAATGGCATACACCATATGCCTCCTAAATATCATAAATAATAGACACAATTGTTATGTTTTAAAATAGGATAGACAGGCACTGGTTGGGGGGAGGGGAGGGAAGAGGAAAGGGATGCTAACAAACAATAAACATTTATTATATATATAAACACTGTTTTTTAAACTTTGTTTTAAAATATTAAGCATATATATATATATTAAAATATTTAGATAAAAAATACTTAATTTTTGTTTATTATCTACAAAATAGTTTTAAAAAAATTTCAATATTAAATAATATATAATACAATTAAAAAAAATATTTTTACAATTAATTCATAGTTCATAATTAATAATATTTTTACAAAACTATTATTTATATCCCTGTATAATATAAATATAAAATTGATATTAATGTTTGTTTTTATAAGATTATAATCATTAATACAAACAAATGTATGAATTAATTTATTTGACAATAAAAATAACATAACAATAATTATAAAGTATTTTTATTTTATTTTTGTCAACTAGTTTAACACTTTGACACACACACACACACACACACACACACACACACACACACACACACACACACACACACACACACACACACACACACACACACACACATACATACATACACACATACACACAGTATACACACATATAGCATATAATTTAATGTCAATAAAAATTTATTGAAAAACACATATTTGAAACACACATTTGATAAATCAATAGATAGATAAATAATAATTATTTTCTATGATTGTGACACATATATAATATAAAAAAAAAATTATATCAACACTTTAGTTGATTGATTTTGATGTTTCAAATACTCTACAATATATATATATACTATATATAAGATATATATATATTAAATAGTTTTTCAATACAATATTTTTATTTTCTAAAAAAAGACACCATTTATTTGGCGCACAGGGCTTTCATTGAGTGAGTGAGTGAGTGAGTGAGTGAGTGAGTGAGTGAGTGAGTGAGTGAGTGAGTGAGTGAGTGAGTGAGTGAGTGAGTGAGTGA